TTAGAACTCACTATTTGACAAAAATTACTGGGAAAACTAGAAAACATAAGAACACAAACCAGGTATAGACCAAAAATGGGTACATGATTTAGACATAAAGGGAGACATCATAAGCAAATTAGAAGAGCTAGGAACAGTCTACCTGTCAGATCTATGGTGAGGGCCATGACCAAACAATAAATAGAGAGCGCTATGAAATATAAAATAGATCATTTTGATTATATTAAAATAAAAGGTTTTTGTACAAATAAAACCGATGCAACAACCAATATTAGAGGGAAAACAGAAAGCTGGGAAATAATATTTACAGCAAGTTTCTCTAATAAAGGCTTCACCTGTCAAATATATAGAGAACCGAGTCAAATTCATAAGAATACAATCTATTCTCCAATTAATAAATAATCAAAGGAAATGAACAGGCAGTTTTCAGATGAAGAAATCAAAGTTATCTATAGGCATATGAAGAAGTTCTCTAAATCACTTTTGATAAGAGAAATACAAATTAAAACAACTCTGAGGTATCACCTTACACCTATCAGATTGGCTAATATGACAAAAAAGGAAGATGACAAATGTTGGAGAGGAAATGGGAAAACTGGAATACTAATGCATTGCTGGTGGAGTTGTGAACTAATCCAGCCATTCTGGAGAGCAATTTAGAACTATGCCTCATGGGCAACCAAACTGTGCATATCCATTGACCCAGCAATACCACTTCTAGGTCTGTTTTCCAAGGAGATCATAAATAAGGAAAAAGGACTTATATGGGCAAAAATATTTATAGCTGCCCTTTTCATGGTAGCAAAATATTGGAAATTGAGGCAATATTCATTAATTGGGGAATAGCTGAACAAGCTGTGGTACACAAATGTAACGGAATACTATTGTACAATAAGAAATGAGGAATAGGCAGATTTCAGAAAGACTTGTATGAACTGATACAAAGCGAAATGAGCAGAACCAGGAAAACTTTGTACAATGTATCAGCAACACTGTGACAAGTATGAATGGCAAGCCCTTCTCAATAAACAATGATCTAAGACAAGTACAAAGAACTAATGAAGGAGAATGCTATCCACATGAAGATAAAGAACTGATGGACTCCAAATAAAGATCAAAGCATATTTTTCTCACTTGCTTTATTCTTTTTCATGTTTTTATCCTCTTTTGATCTGTTTCTTCTTTCACACCTATGACTAATATGAAATGTTTTACATGATAGCACATGTATAACCTATATCAAACTGCCTACCATTTTCAGAAGAGGAGAGAGGAGGAAGGGAGGGAGAAAAAATTTGTAACTCAAAATCTTGTAAAAATGAATGCTAAAAATTGTCCTGTTATGTAATTGGGGAAAAAATATTATTAAAAAAAGAAAAAGAGTGACAGATTGAATAAAGCAAAACCTCACAATATGTTGCTTACAAGAAACACATTTTAAAAACAAAGACATAGGGGCAGCTAGGTGGCATAGTGCATAGAGCATAGAGTCTTGAAGTCAGGAGGACCTGAGTTCAAATCCAACCTCATACACTTGACACTAGCTGTGTGACTCTGGCCAGGTCACTTAACCCCAATTGCCTCACACACACACACACACAAAAAAAAGACATAAATAAAATAAAACTGAAAGGATGGAAAAAATTTATTAAGTATTGAGAAAATCTGAAAAAGGAGGAGTTGTAATCATTTTGCCTGAAAAAAAGAAAAACAATCCAAAAATAAAATGGAATAAACAAGAAAACTATATAATGCTGAAAGGAACTACAGACAACAAAGCAATATATTAGTAATACACTCACATACTCCAAATGCCTTAATATTCAAATTCATAAAGGAAACATTAAATAGAGCTACAAGAGAAAATAGAGAGTAACACAATAGTGATAGGACACTTCAATATTTGTCTTGGAGTTCTGGACAAATCTAGCAGACAGATGACCAAAAGGGAATATATGGAAATAAATAAACATCTGGAAAAAATTAGAGCTAAAAGCCTTATGGCATGCAATTTGGAATTCCACAAATAAAATGACTAAAATGTCCATGCCCTTTAAACCAAAGATTTCATTACTGGGATTATACCCCAAGGAAGCTATCAATAAGAAAGCCCCCATATGCACCAAAATATTTATAGTAGCATTTTTTCTGAAAGCAAAGAATTAGAAACAATTAGATGCTCATAGATTGGATTTTTAAAATTGTGGAACAAGAATGTAATAGAATATTACCATGTTACAAGAAATGATACATATGACGAAAACAGAGAAGTATCTACATAAACTGATGCATAGTAAAGTAAGCAAAGCCAAGAAAACAATAAACACAATAACTATAATAACGTAAATAGAAAAAAAACACTAAAAAAATCAAAAGTGAATGTGGTAACAAAATTATAACGATCAAGCACAATTCCGGGCCATATGAGCAAACGGATGAAGAACCAGACATTTTCCTTGATCCCTACATTTGATCTCAAAAGGTCTCCAAATTCGAAATTATACGCTAAGATAAAGCAACTTCAGCTTTCTCCATGGTCTAGGATGGCTGGGGGGGGGGGAAGGGGGAGAACACCTGAAACCTATGAACTGATTCTCACTCAATACAGGCACAGAGGAACCTTTTTAAAAAAACATTAAAAATCATCTATCTTGGGGGGCAGCTAGGTGGCACAGTGGATAGAGCACCGGCCCTGAAGTCAGGAGGACCTGAGTTCAAATCTGGCCTCAGACCAAACACTTGACACTTACTAGCTGTGTGACCCTGGGGAAGTCACTTAACACCAATTGCCTAAAAACAAAACACAAAAAAATCATCTATCTAAAACCATAAGCAAATATCTTGTGTAATGGGTATACAAGAAGCTTTACTAACAAATACAGGAATAAAGCAAGGATGCCCACTTTCCCCACTATTATCAGATATAATTCTGGAAATGCTAGCAATAATAAAACAAAAGGAAAAAATTAAATATAAATAAAGAAGTGATAAAACAATCACTGTTTGCTGATATGATGGTTTACTTTGAAAGTCCTAAGGAATCAGCAAAGACACTAATTGAAACAATTAATAGCTTTAGTAAAATTGCAGAATACAAAATAAATCTTTACAAAAAGATCAAGCATGACCTGAATGAAGATATATGAGACATCCCCCCCAACCTACCCATTCCTGGAGGTGGGAGGTACACAGATGCTATACATTGCACACGTTTTCTAAATTTTTAAATGTAACAACAGTTGTGCTGATTTTTTTTTTCTCTTTAAAAAACTACTCTTTGTTATATTGGATAGCTCTCTGGGAGAGAAAGGAAGAAAGATACTTGGGATAACTATGACAAATGTAAAAAACTGAAGACAAGATAACTTTTTTAAAAAAATCTGTAACTGGGGAAGGAAAAAGTTAGGTCCAAATCACAGCTCTGCTATTTACTGGCTTTGTGACCTTGGGTAAGATCACTTACTCTCACTGGGCCCCAGTTTCCCCATCACATTAGATCAGAGATTTTTAACCTTTTTCATGACTTAGGCACAAAAAGTCACCTTTCAGCAATCTGGTAAAGCCTATGGATCCTTTCCCTGATACAGTTTTTAAATGCATAATTTAAATTGAGTTGTATTGAAACAGTTATCTAAAAAATTGTTTTAAGTTCTTGACCTCAAGTCAAGAATCCCTAAAACAACAGAATCCTGTCTAAAGTCTTTTCTAGCAGTAAAATCATAGTTAGTGATAAATTATGTGATACTAATATGCTTCAAAAAAGTTCAGAGAAGAGAGGGAACAATAAAAGCTAGAGTGGTCAGTGAAGCCTCAAAAAGATGGAGTTAAAAGTTGAAAACTGGTGAATGAGTAAGATTTGCACGTGCAGAAGATAAAAAAAGAATATTCAAACTTACCCATAGGGACAAAGATGGTATATTTAGATAACAATAAGATACTGGTCTAACTACAGTTTGGCACATATTAGGGAATAGTGAGACCTTTAAATATCAGGCATTGACACAGAAACAAAAGATTAAGGTTAATGAGCAACACAGTGATAATTATAAAAGCTGCTTTAAAGAAGAATGATCTAACAATTGTTCCAAACAGACTGGAATGATTCAGCATGGATCCTGGTAAGCCAGCTAGGAAGGTGTTACAGTGAGAGAGGAGTGAAGCATGAGAAGCTGGACTACAGTAAAAGCAGTTGCACTTAAAGCCATAATTAGCAAGGTGACAACTGGGGATTTGCCCCAAACTGCCATATTTAGATGGCTTTCATAGAACAGCACAGAAACAAAAGAATTAGAAAAAAAATAGTTAAAAGAGAAAGCTACTAGGTGGCTTGATAATATGAGCCACTCACCTTCATGGTAGTTTCTCCATTAGCATCTTCAAAGCTATATGTTAGAATCTCCATTTCCTTCCCATGGAGTTTGTGCTGCCTTCTCTCCACTCTCAAAGTGTGTGCTTGCCTGTCTAAGATCCAAAATTTCCTAGCTACAGCTTTGAACGTAGAAGACAAGATGGGATACACGAGAGATTCCATAAGAAATTACAAGTGGCTAGGCAATTGACTCAATAGCAAGATAAATGAAAAGACAGCTTAGGCTTTAGGCAGGTTTAAAGTAGAAGAAAGTTGTGCACAGTAACAGGGATCAGAAAGCTGAAAGCTGAAGTTTTGGAAAGAAGACAAATTCAATTTTGAACATGTGAAGTTTGCTGTAGATAGTAAGGCAGCCAAGGGAGCATATTTCTATGCCAACAAAGTAGATTCTGTAAGCATATGAGCTTCCCATGCTTTGCCAAGGAATTCCTTGAGGAATTTCCTTTGTTAAAACAAGTAATTTAAAATTTAAAATTAAGATAAAATTTTCAAGTCATCACTTCTTTCCAATCTTCATTCCTGTACTTTGAGATGTATGATAAAATGGCAAACATTTAATTTATCCACACACAGTAAACAGGTCACTTCCAAAAACAGTTAACAGACATTCCACAAAATCTTCATATCTTACCTCCCCAAAAGCTCCTCTACCAATCACCTTTAATATTTCAAAGTCTTCTTTATGTAATCGCATCTGTTTCACTTTAGAAGTGAATGGTTTGGCTGGAAGAAAAGAATATCATCTATTACTTTTCAAAAGAAGATGAAAAATTATACATACAGTGAAAATTTTTACAAATCTATATTATATGCTAAAAGTTCAAACACTTATTAGTAGACCCTAAAAAATTCTCATTAAAATTTGAAGAGGAAATAATTTTAATAACCAAAACCAAAGTTTATTTTTTTATTCAGTTCATTCATTTGGAGAAAACATAAAGTCAAGCATCTTAAAATGCTTTCAAATATCTCTGCAACTCAGTGTAACTATGTAATAAAATTATAAGTGTATCTCCATGTTAATAGTACACATTTCAACTTTAATATATTTCTTGTGTTAGTCCTAGAAAGAGAAACAAGATTTCTAAAACTAGTTCAAACAGATGAAGTAATTTCAACTATTTCATTTGAATTTTAAATGATAAAATATATTGTATCACTATTAGTAACATGACAAAAATGTTTTTAGTTATTCTGTTAGCACACAAAACACACATTACTAATTAAAGACAAACAACAAGAGAATAAGGAATGAACCAAATATATAAAATATGAGGCTAATATCTGGAATAAAAAAAATCATGGTGACACTTTTAATACTCTTTAAAATTTCTGTGATATTTAATTACTTTCTATGAGGTAACTTAATAAGTTTCAGGTATAGAAAGAAATCTAACATTAAAAATTTTTATTCTATATTTCAGTTTATTCCTATTAACAGCCAAGAAACCAAGAAAACAATTTTAAAACCCAGAGGTTTCACATATGATTAACTCCTACTCAAGAATCAGTATTAAGGCAATAAACTGATTGGATTTTTAAAAATCTATTTACTTGAGACCCCAAAAAATACTGAAGAAAATAACACCTTAAAAAATAGCTTAACCCAAATGGCAAAAGAGGTCCAGAAAGCCAAACAGCAGAAGAACGCCCTAAAAAGAAAAATTGCCCAAATGGAAAAGGAAGTCCAAAAGCTTACTGAAGAAAATAACTCCTTAAAAATTAGAATGGAGCAATTGGAAACCACTGACTTCATGAGAAATCAAGACACTATAAAATAAATCCAAAAGAATGAAAAAAATAGAAAACAATGTCAACTACCTCATTGGAAAAACAACTGACCTGGAAAATAGATCCAAGAGAAAGAATTTAAAAATTATTGGACTTATCTGAAAGCCATGATCAAAAAAAGAGCCTAGACATCATCTTTCAAGAAATTATCAAGGAAAACTGCCCTGATATTTTAGAACCAGAGGGCAAAATAGAAAGTGAAAGAATCCACCCATCACCTTCTGAAAGAGATCCCCAAAGGAAAATTCCTAGGAATATTATAGCCAAATTCCAGAATTCCCAGGTCAAGGAGAAAATACTGCAAGCAGCCAGAAAGAAACAATTCAAGTATTGTGGAAACACAATCAGGATAACACAAGATCTAGCAGCTTCTACATTAAGGAGGGCATGGAGCATGATATTCCGGAGGGCAAAGGAGATAGGATTACAACCAAGAATCAACTACCCAACAAAATTGAGTATAATCCTTCAGGGGAAAAAATGGTCATTCAATGAAATAGAGGACTTTCAAGCATTCCTGAGGAAAAGACCAGAGTTGAATATAAAATTTGACTTTCAAATACAAGACTCAAGTGAAACATGGAAGAAGTGAACAGGAAAGAGAAATCATAAGAGACTTATTAAGGTTGAACTGTTTACATTCCTGCAGGGAAAGATGATATTTGTAACTCATAAGTCCTCTGTCAGTATTAGCGTAGTGGGAGGGAAAAAAAATTATATGTATGTATACACAGATAGATAAAGAGCACAGAGTGAGTTGAAGATGAAGGGGTGATATCTGGAAAATAAAATTAAGGGGTGACAGAGGATTATACTGGGAGAAGGAGAAAGGGAAAAGCAGAATGGGGTAAATTATCTCACATGAAACAGACAAGAAAAGCCTTTTACAGTGGAGGGGAAATGGGAGAAGGTGAGAGGGAATGAGTGAATCTTATTCTCATAGGATTTGGCTTAAGGAGGGAATAACATACACAATGGGATATGGAAATATATCTTACCCTACAGGAAAATAAGTGGGGAAGGGGACAAGAGAGCAGGGGGGTTGATAGAGGGGAGGACAGATTGAGGGAGAGGATAATCAAAAGCAACCACTTCTGAGAAGGGACAGGGTCAAAAGAGAGAATAGAATGAATGGGGGGGGGGGTAGGATAGGATGAAGGGAAATATACCTGGTTTTTTTCACAACTGGACTACTATGGAAGTGTTTTGCATGACTACACATCTATAACCTGTATCGAGATGCTTGCCTTTTCAATGAGGGTAGGTGGGGAGGGAGGAAGGGAGAAAATTTGTAACCCAAAGTTTTAAAAACATATGTTAAAAATTTTTTTAATTTAATCTATTTATTTTATTATCAAGATTTTATTCTATTATAAAAACGCCATTCTCTTGATAACTAATTATAATCAGACAAATTGGGAGTCTGTCAGGTTTTTACAGTTGTAGCTTCCAATAGCAAACATTTTTAATTTCCAAAATTTCTTTAAACTGAGAAGCTCAAGCTAGATTTGAGGCTGACAATGCCACATTTTAAAACTAGATATTCAGGCAAACTGTACTTTAAAAGTGTTTTTTTTTTAATTATATGGTAATGGAATTTAGTCGTCGAGTTATATATTTATCTCAGATTTCTCTGAATTGGGGGAAGGGGGGTTGATGTTGAGGGGATTTCAGGTATAAAACTGGAGAGAAGAAGGAGCTGAAGACAGATGGCTGGAATTTTCTCAGTAAAGAAGGTAGATAGTCAGCTGGAAGGAAAGAAGCATTTTAACTGGAGAAGAAAGAAGAAGAAAAGATTTGGAACAGACACTGTGTCAATAGAGAGTCAATCAGGGAAGAGTGAAAGGATTTCTGAGCCCAGAGAGAGCCCAGATGGGATAACAAATTTATTGAGCATCCTAGTCAACAAAATCGTGTGACTTCTTCCAGTGACATTCAGTAACACCTGAGTAAAAGTGGAGAAGGCAGATGACAGGAGCAAGCTAGGGCTGAGGTTTGGAAGGGATGAATGATGAAAAGACAAGGAGGCACGGAATTTGGCATAAAATTGAACTGATTAATTACAGGGTCAAGATCATAAAAAGAGGCCACACAGAAAGGATGATGGTGACATGCTAGCAAAGCAGGGAAAGGGTGGTATGACAGGATATCATAACAAGGACAAATAACCAGTTTAGGGGAGTAAGATACAAAAAGAGAGGGGAGAATAAGAGATTATACAAATAGTCTGAGAGAAGAACTACAGAGTTGGGGGTGAGGGGAGAGTGATGAGATCAAGGCTATGTGAAGTAGAGTAAAAGTCCAGATCAGAAGAGATGAAGTGGCTAATGGCAGGGGAAGGGAAATTTTGCCTAGGCAGCCTATAATATATGAGAGAAGGGATATGATTCGAGCCCTCCACACCTCCACTAAGTTTATGGAGTCACAAAAAACACAGAATGTAATAAAAAAAAAAAAGGTACTAATTAGCTGTTACACTGAGTGCATAAATATGTCTATGCCCTGACCTGTACAAACACCTCTCCAAATGAGCTAAGCAGGGGATACCAACAATGGCTGACAAATTAGCCACTCTCCAGAAAGCTTTAAATAGTTGAACCAAGAGAAGCTCCACAGAATCAAGGCTCAGAGTTGTCTATAGAATATAAGGGGGGTGAGAAATCACCAATGCTCTCCTTAGAGTTCTAGGTTAACTGCCTCACCCACATCCTGGGTTGTCACTTTAAGAAAACATGGCTCCAGCTCCCCTTCCAGCTATCTTCAGTGACAATCAGCTCGGCTGCCTGTTGCTGACAATGAACTTGAGTCTGTTTACTTACTGCTAAACAATGTCAGCTGGACAAATTCTCCCATACTAAGTATTCCAATCACCACCTGTGTGAATTCACAAAGAAACTTTCTTCTCTAAGTTCAGATATTTTAAGTTCTCCAAAAAAGATATTGCAAACAAATTGCTTATGATAAACTAAAATCTGAAGCTGGGATTTGTTATTTTTTATGGACTGGAAGGCTGCTATGAATGAAAATGAGTATTTATTATAATACAATCATAGTATCTTCAAGTTTATAGAATCGTAGACCTAAAGTAGAGCTGAAAAGGAGCTAGGAGACATTCTAATCCAACGCCTTCAGTTTAGAGATAAAGAAATCTGAAAGGAAATTCAGAAGCAACATAGTCTTAACCTGTACCTGAAAAAATTATCCCTTCCATAATACTGCTGACAAGTGATCATCCAAGGAAACCTGCTAAGATGGAAACATAGGAGGAAACAGTACAATCTAGCTTTTCTCAGACAACTATTCTCCACCCAAAAAAGGTCTAGGAAGAGTACCAGACCAAGTGGGAAATCAAATGAGAAACCACAGTGAGTCACTATTCCAGCCCAAGACAGTGAAGACTGCCCACAAGCAGGTGACTAAGGTAGAAAATCTGAGACAGAAGTGGGCCTGCAACTCTACAGCCCTCATCCCAAAGGAGGATCAAAGGCCTGAAATGGCCATGGATCTACAGCTCTGTTGCTCTGGCACCAGAATGGGATCAGTCTCAGGACAGAGGTGAGTGATTTATAGTATCTGTTGTGAACAGGGGGTGGGGTAAGAAAGAAGGTGCCTACAGCTCTTCTGCAAAGCCTTCCTTGATAGCTGACAAGGACTAGCAACTGTCTAAGGAAGTTCCCTATCCAAGGGCAAGCCTGTAGTTGTGGTGCTGAGATCCAAATTGGGAACCAACCCTACTAAGCTTAGACTAGAAAGGAAGCGATTTTGGACATAATGAAATTTTGCAAATTCTCACCCTAAGCTTTTCCTGAGATTCTTAAAGAACACAGCATTCAACACCCAAAGAATTTAATAGCAGGAGCACAAAAGGCTTTAATAAGCCAAAATTGCCCAGAGTCCTGCCCTAAATCCCCAATTCAGATAAATGAATAAAT